AGTTGCCTGCCATCCGTCTTTCTGCGCCGAGCTCAAACTATTTTTTTATTCTCCTTCTTCAGCGGGGGTATTTGCTTCTGCAGCAACTGCAATCTTGTAGCTTTTGATGCATTCATTTCTATTTATCGTATCAATGCAATGTAATGTCATTGCTTGTTCATTATAGTTTTTACACAGATAAAAAATAGCTATAGATAAAAGTTATCGGCATATTGCAAACAATTCCGAATGTAGGGTAAAAACTTGAGCGTTAATTAATAATGTGCATAATGAACAATAATGAATTCATTTGTTATTTATTGCTGTGAACAAATACATGTGTTTTCCGCGCGTTCTCAGCGACGGCTTATCAACCCAAAAAACACGTCAAACGAAGCGAAAAGCTAGATAAATTCGTATGATTAATTCATGCGTAGGCCATTGCCAATGCGACCTGCAAATAATTATACAAATAATCGTACGTAATAAAAACATATTTTATTACGTTATTATATTTGCTCAACAATGCCTGCACGTCGCGCATTTGCTTATATACAATGTGTTTCCAGCGATTTTATTCTATAAATCGTATTTTTTTGCATTCCCTGCTCTATTTCTTGCAAATTACGGATAATTTACATATAATCTGCATGCATTTTAATTATTAATTAATAATACATCATAATTGCCATATTGAATTTTCCAACCGCGTATGTATGAAATAAAAACCTGATTTCTTTAAATAATTATTTGGTTACCAATGTGTATCGCTAAAATCAACATTAAATATTTTCTCCGACGTTGGGAGTATTTATATTTTCAATTGTTCTTAAAAAAATTAAAATAAAACATTAATCAATGAAATAGCAATCTTTTTTTGGGTAGGTATTTTTAGCCCAGCCGGAACAGACTTAGATATATCTTCATGATACATCAGTGTCTGTGTTTCAACGCTTCGAACCAAAAAGGTATAACAAGTATAAATATAGGTAGAAAACGTCCGTTTGCAGCGATAAACGTTTGCAGCTGTTATATAAGCACAAGCTAAACCGCACCGGTAACCTCATTTTTGGCGAGTTTTCATTCATCCATCTTGCTACCATGTCTGCTACATTTGGACTCATCGAACACTACTACATTGCAGTTTCTTCGATTGTGATGGTCATACTATATTTAATAATAAAAATGATAGTAGGTTTTGTGTGTAATGAGCCAAATCGTCTATTCATTCTCATATCTATCAGCTACTGTTGAGGGTCATATGTTTTTTACGATTCACCTTTCTGTTTCTCTTTTTTAATCCAAACCAGAAGCTACATTAGTGTATTCGAAGCCGATGATGATAAAAGGTGTACACGAGTGGCTCTTTAAGCCCTCAAGGGTAGCCTGGGTGTAGGTACAAGGGGGAGGCTGCTACTGTGAGTTTATACAGTTATGCAATATGAAATAATACACAGCGGTGAATAAAGAATAGACAACAGTAACATATCTGGAAAATAGTGAATGCTTAGCAACTCAAGTGGTTGAGGCTGTTTCGTTTTTTTTTTTATTCCTGTCTGGGTGTTTGTTGAAATTAATCTGAGCGTAAGTGCTACCTCTTTATGTTAGTAGGCTACTTAGTACTGTAGTAACTGCATGTGTATTTAAGTGCCTCCAACTCTTCCACTCTTGTAATCTGCTTGTACTGCTTGTAATTTAAAATGTAAAGATTTAGGACCGTTTCTCAAGATTACTATTATTGTGGTTATTAAAAAGTATTTTAAGGGTTGACTTAACATTAGTTAATTCCACTATAATTCAGATGATAGTAGAATGTTTTTATGATTTCATACAGTGCAGGAATATAGGTGTGTGGGTTCTTAGTTCCACGGTGATTATTAAAAATTTAGTACATGGTAGTTTGTCCGCCGTAAAAATATTATATTACTCGAATGTCACTTAAAGCACGCTCGTAAATTATGGCGTTGTTGAAATGTCTGAAATACAATATGTGCAAAATGTAACCGGCGGGCATAATAATAATCGAAAGTCTAAAGAGTTCTTCAGGTGTGCGCCGCGTACGCCGACCGGCGCTGAGGAAGATATCATAATAGGATATTTCGCACACGGGCGCAAACGAGGCGAGTTTCGTACGCAATTCATGTATGTGTGAGTCGCTACGCAGATCAAAGTTAGTTCATTAGTGGAAACGTAAGTAATATTTCATCTCTCAGATTGTATTCTCTGTTCCTCCTCCCTTTTACACAGAGAGTGAGTGAGTGAGTGCAATTATTGTAGAGTTCCTCGTTAGGAGCTTTTTTGGCAGCACATTGGTACTTACGCGAATGTAAACGAGTGCGACCGCAAGGAATGAAGTGGAAACGAGTTGGGAGTTTGGGTCGCGATGCGCCGGCGCTAATGGCGGCTTGAAATAAGATATCAAGACATGCAATGATACCATAGCAGACTATAAATTTGTCGGGGTCCGTAATAAGGAATCGCTCGCCCGCTCGCCCGTCTTGCGCTCTCGTGTGAGGTGGTATTTAATTAGGAACGATGCTCGTTTTCAGCGCGCCGGGAAACCGAATTATGTGCGGCTGATATTGTCAAAATATCGCGTGCCTTCATCCATTCTCGTATCGAAAATCGAACGACGCGAGTAAAATGTACCTTCACCAGCGCGCTGAAATGCTCGTTCCACGCGAGATGAAATACTAATACAATAAACTATCGCACGGCAAAGTTTATGAATCGATGTGAATGATGTGGGTTTTTGTTTGGCGAGCGGCGTCGATTTCGGGTTTGAGCACAGCAGGCACACACGTCCTGCTGGCACGGGCCGTCGTGCCCGACTGCCTGTGCATCGCAGTCGGGACAAACAGCGAAAGAGAACATTTGGCATTCCAATGCAGGAAGCATGCCCAAATCCGACTGAATACAATTCATTGCGTGCGTGCGTTTGTGTGACAGAAATGGAAAGCGCTCCCGTGGGATTGAAGCGCGCAGCGCGTGTCCCGTCCCGGTCTGGCGCACGGCACATTCCGGCATTCACATTGTACGAATGCGATTCAGAATGCCGAATGCTGGAGAGTCGTCCCCCTCGACAGTCGGCAACCTGTGGATTCGAAATAAATCTCTCCCACAAACCGACTGTGGTGCTTGGCTGCCAGCCGCGGCCCCGGAGTGTCGGCTCGTATTTACACTACGTGTTTCCGCCGTTTGGATTGCCCCGTTTTTCCGGTATACGACTCACTTGGCAGTGAATTTAACGCGGATTTACCTACAAAAGCGAGTGCCACAATCCACAAACACCTCGTTTTCTCTTCTTTATTCTTCTTCGTTCATTCGCAAATCGTGCGTTTTGCCATTCCGACACTTAATGTAGTTACAGTGAAATAAATTGACCATTGCAGATTTTATTGTTTCCGTGTTTTTCGCCTATAAATTATAAAGTTAACATGAGGTTTATTAGTTGTTCTTGCGAAATGTTGGAAGATTGTTTCACTAACAGCGATACCGAGTATGTCAGACTATTGGCGTTATTTTTAATAACAAGGCGTAACTGTCAACTTGATATTTATTTAGAAATGATTTACCGACCGCGAACTACATTTGCTCCTTACTGATGGCAATGTGCAGGCACCGGTCTCAAAACGCGCGGAACGTTTACGATCCGTGACCGTTAAATTTGTTTGTTTTCTTTGCCGTTTGCTAACAAGAATACTAGGATTGTAAAAATAAATTACTGAAGTAAATAAAGTGCGTGTTCTCCCATTATCTCGAAACTTGCTCATCTAATTTATTGATGCGATATGGCAGGACAAATGACAGCGGGAAATTCTAAAGAAACTTGAACGTTATTTGCAGTTAACATGATGGGCTGAAACTTTGTTTGCTTTAACGATCGCCGAGAATTTTTAAACGAATCAGGCTATTTATTTAGAAAAAACACCGTGTGCGCCTCCGGTGCACGTCCTGAGCAACGGGCAGCGGGAGGCCGCGGGTTTATTCAGCATCCAGAATAAATAGCGTGTTACGAGGGCAATCTGCGCTCTCGACGCGTGCACAATGAAAAAGCCATTTAGACGGCCACCCGACGACGTGCGCCGCAAACTCTGATTGCTTTTCGCAAATATAAATAAAAAATTCAACAAGCGCGAGCGTTGTGCGTCTTGTGGCCACCGAATGTGCACTCACGGGCAAGGTGCACATTCAAATCCGCGACCATTTTGAACGCGACAAAAGCTCTCCCCGTGCGACGATTTTTTACTTTTTCCTATTTAACTTGCTTGCGTTCGCCCGAGCGAATTCCATTCGTGGCCATTCGTATTATGGCGAAAAATGCAAACGAAAAACCCATTTCGAATCTGGCTTTCGTGCTTGGTGCATTATTAATACGAAAACGGACGCGAACCGACGGTCGGAGGTTTGCAGTCAAGTCAGTCTCAACTCGCCATTATAAAATAAAACGTATCAAAATATTTTCCATACACAGTTGGGCGCAATTAAAACTCGTACAAAACGCACCTGTGTTTGTCGTTAATCGCGTTATCGCTCGACAATTACATCAAACACATACACATTCGTAAGCTAGTGTAATAAAACGGCAAGCGAGAAATCGATTTTTAGTCGCATTTAGAGGCGCTCCAAGTTTGCATACGATATGATGAGTAATACAGGCATTCAGTGTCCGTTTGGATTCCTGCCTATTATGCTCCCAACTCTTATGGGCTCGTGTTTTGTTCCTGCTGTTGCATTTTAAATCTATAATATGCTAGGGAGCGCCTGGCGCTGAAAGGGTCTCATCGAATTCCCCTTGTTTTGAGATCATGCTCCATGCACAGTGTTCGCCGACTGCAATTACAATCGGCGAAAACAACTCCACGACGAATGCGAAATTAAAGGGAGACGTGCACAAAACGCACTCATTGCCCTAGTTTGTTGTCAGGCGGGCGTTTATTGCATTGTCGGAATGCCGCACGGAATAATATCACATGCAAGTCCCACCGAGGGCACATAAATTCGGAGATTGTGACACGTACCTGGCCGTCGTGCAATCTCTGTAGAGTGTGTCGAAGTCCTTGCACGAGAGCAGCTTACAACGATTCACGCCGGGTTGAATTGCGCCCAGACCACGCAAGATGCGCACTTGCTCCACGTTGCAGACAAGCGGGACGATGTCCAACCTCTTCAATTTAGTGTACACCGTGTGTAGCCCACCGACTAAGTGCTTCAGGAACAGTTCAAACGCCTGTGGCAAACATAGCATAGTGTCTCCGGCTATGATAAAAGCCGCCACTTTTTGACCACGATAGTCTACCAATTTGCATTCATTTGCTGTCGGGTCAGAGGTGGAGATTGGTGGTGGGCTGTTGTAGGAACGTGGTGGTCCATGATGGGCCATCAGGTCAAGCGGGTTGTGAAGCACACCCAGCGAATTGAGCAGCCCTAGACCGGGCGGCGGGAGATGGCCCAAACCCATACTACGAACAAGATTGGCGGTCGACACCGGCGGCGGACTGAGCGGATGTCCCAACGACATCGGTGGACCTAGCGGCGACGCTTGCCGCGGACTATGCACCTGATTCAGATGGTGATGATGATGATGGTGGTTGTTGTTGTTATTGATCGGTGACGGCGGCGGTTTGATGGCGATTGCCGGGGAACCGGAAGACGCGTGACTACTATGATCAGAGTCCATTCCCGAGTTGTCCATCATAGAATCACCACGCGAACACACCGAGTTCGGAGCGGATCGATGCGGCGAACCGAACACTGTGTCACACAATTCAAAACGCGATGCGCGAAAACACGACGGAAGAATATCAGTCCTCTTCTCCAGGAGCACTTCTTGTCACTGATTTCGTAACGAGGCGCAGCGATGCACCCGGCTTGCGACGAGAGCGAACACTCACTAGCACATTACCCCCGAGAGCAAATACTGCGAACAGTTACAGATACAGATGTGCCGACCGGAGTGAACAGATAGATCTGTAATCGTCGAGCCGCTCACTGTGAGGGTGATTCCGATTGTTTGATTGTCGGGCGGGGCGGTGCGCGCTCAACAACCAACCTGGAGGAAGCACGGACGCGACCGGCACACTCGCAGGATAGAAATGTAATAAATAAAAACATTTCGAAAAAGCGATGCGAGACTCGGAGGGAGGTGCCCCGGCTGCCACGCGCCCGTAGGCTGGGATTGGTGCATGGTGCGCGCAGCCCATGCGCGCATTGGACCCCCACCTTCATCAAACTCCAACGTTGGAGCCGCGCCCACCATGCTACTGGAAGAAAGTCCTTTCTTTGTGGGAGATCCGGGAGGGCGGATGCAGGACAACTTGAAATATGAGTTGTGACGTATTGATAAAGAATGTCACCGGCCTGTCGGTGCGGAATCAATACACACAAGGTGCGGTGCGCGCTCTGCGAAGGACTTTTTTCCTCTCATATTGCGTCGTTGGACTCGCTCGCGTTCATAATCATTCCAGCTCGTGCAAAACTGGGAAGTTGGAAAATTCAGCAACGGAATAAGCGAAATACGCTTTGGAATTCGGCTCCATGCGGTACGTGCTAGAACATTCTCAGTTCTCACACACTCGCATACGATATCCCGCCCATCATATGCACACGCTGTCCCCCACCAGGTGAGGCACCTATCTGGATACCTTACTTAAGTCACACCGCACGTCCCACCAGTTACTTGCTCGCACACTCCGCTTTTGACTTAATGGGCTATTTTGTGTCCGCGTTCATAAACTCGGCGGTGAAGATTTTAATAAGCGCGTTGTGTGCGTTCAAGGATTGCACAGAAACGTGAACAAGCGTGTGGCCTGGCCCTACAAAAGGGGCCGAGTCCGTCGGATGCTTGTTTTGCGTATATTTTGCTTGCCGGTTGCTAGGAATAGGGGGATGGAGAATGGTCAGTAGGTTACTGATACAAAGAATCGACCAGCCATTTTCTGCGCACCCTCGCTCCCTTAAAACCGTTGCACGCTTTTTGCTGAACGTCTGCATAGTCTCGGCTCGTCTTTCTCCCCTTCGCGGCGAACGCACTCAAAGATAATACACCCCCAGACGCATTAATACGTTTCAATAATTAAAATCTTGCGGTTTAATGCCCAAGATCTATTGATCAGTCAGCATCACAAATGCAGGTAGGTGCCTACAGTGTGGTTAATTTTGACGCTTTATTACACAGCGGGTTGTTGATGTTATTGTTACGGTACGCACAGATATAAAACTATCCAGATTAAAATCACACTGTGATGGAAACAATCAGAAGATTAATCGCGTGGCCCCAGCAAACAAAACATGCGTGGTGCGTGGTCTGCGCGTCGATGCGATTAACGATTTTTTTCGCGCGACAAATAGAGGTAATTGTCCTGCAACAGTCGCGATTCAATAGATATATAGATATATACAGACTGTATGCGCTATCTGTCATCGCTATTGTTTCGTCACAACGACGCCCTCACCTCAACGGCTCATTCAGCACATACGCTTACCAGGATAATAGACTCTCGTGTTGCGATCACCACTACCATCATTCGCATCTCACAACGTGTGCGTTATTACTATAACTATAAATCGTCCAAATCGCGTGCGATAGTGAGTGTGGGCATTGCACGTGAACATTACTAGCGACAAACTTTCATTACATCATGTCAATATCAGGAATCGCCATCACCATCTCTCGTGTGCTGATGTGCCTATCGAACGCGAATACATCGATTTGCGGTGTTTTAGGCTTTGTGTTTTTGATTAATTCGACGACGATGTGGTCAAACATGCTGTGCAACCTGCGATCATCGCGTTGTGTGGGCAGCAGGACCACATTTTGACCACCGATCATAATTACAAATAATTTAATGGGCAAATCTACTGTTGAATTGGAATTGAGATTGAGAAATTCTCTTTGTGCTCCAGGCTGTCTACTTTGATTTAATACAATTTATATGGTTCTACAGGATGGTTAAATATGAAACTTTGCTTTTTACTGTAGTTAAGTTTGCGTTTCAGTAAGGTCCTGTAGAATAAGTTAGAAAATGTAAACGTAGACAAGGCCGCAAAGCGAGTCGGATCGATTTATTGAAATTTCGATTTGGTTACGTGGAAAATTATAACGTTGAGGTTTCTATCGAGGGATCAAGTAGATAAATACTGGAAGCGCTTCGGTCGCGCACGTTGCGCCTTCCTGCCAACGCTAGAAGCCAGAGAGCGCGATGTTTGCTCACTCACCGACGATCCTCTCGCATCGGTTGGAAGCGGCAGGCAGTAGGATGAGACCCGGGGGCTCCTCTCCAGCAGCGGGCGGCCGCCGATGACCGCATGACACTCGGTAGTTGCGCTACATATTGATATAATCCAGTTTATCTAACATGCACATCGCGGCGCGGCGCTGCATCGGCATTGTTTCGGCGTCATTGTTGCTGTGCTGCGTGTGCGCGGCTGCGGCGCGGTCAGCCCGCCGCCCGTGTGCAAAACAATGAGTCCTATTAACATCAAGCTCGATAATCTGTTAAAATACTACTCCGGTATGCTGATACCCGCTTCGGCGCTGGGAATTAGATTTTGCGTTCGGTGACTTAATAAATATAAACCCTCACGGCGCGCCGCCAGTGTGGCAGCACCGGGATGTGCTCCGCATGCACGCGCACAGATATTTGCATCATCTATGGACGTGTCAAAGTGTTTTCGGATTGCATGTTACTTTCCTACCGCTTGTTTCCGAACACACGCACCTACATTACATCAAATCCAATTTAACTTCCATCTATCAGAATGTTTCTATTTTAGATGATTGAAGTGCTCGCCTAGCACCAATAGACGCATCCTCATCATGCACACCATCGTCCTCGCCCGGAATGGGTACACTCATGCGTAGATTATTATTTACGCATGTACAGATTGTAGTAACAAGCGCGGTTAGTGAATATTAATGTGCGAGCTGCGCGTTTCCGTGATAGGTTTTCCATGCGAATAAGGCGCAAACAATAGCCACTGTCCGAATAGATGCACTATCGCCACCATCGGCGAATATTGTGCGTGTTGCTGCTTGCTGCACGTCCAGGACCGATAAATATGCGAATAAAATCTTGTTGATTTTTGGCCTGTACCTATGCCTACATGATACGTGCGATATGCTCATATGCATAAACAAGACAAACACCGCTTCAATGTGGTTCAACGTAGGCACAAGCTGTGCGTGCTTACATAATGCTACCAGCCATATAGTGATCGAAATCAAGGTCGGTTCATAAATCATCCAAGCATTTTCGCTCAGTTTTTAGCAACTCACATAAACACAACACATACTTTGAGTGAATATTACTTCTGTTGGACTCTCGTCCCTGTTATACACACATACACACAGTAGGTACACGCATATATATTATAATAATAAATGCCGTTTTTTGTGGCAGCTGCTACCGCTCCGCTTTTACATAAATACGCACCACAAAACACACGGGCCAACGGACCGACATCGGACGACGGACGCGAAATGTAATTAAGCGTATGCGAAAATGGAACTTTACTTTCCAGCTGTCTAAAAAGGCTGGTTTGTATTCATTTTCGAATGTGCCGTTGCGGTGTGGCGCTACCGCCCGTCGTGAAGTGGATTTTCGTATCGTATCGCTTTCCAAACATGTCATGATCTTGCGGGGAATCAAAAACGCCGGGGAGTGCATTTTAATGCCGATTTCCTTTTACTGCCAAACCACACTTTTCTACATTACTTTTATACATTACGAAAAGTATTATAAGTAAGTAACTAAAACTGTGACAGAAGTGGGATGCCGGATTTGAATTTTTAACATTCTCTAAAATGTATCATTAGGATTAATATCCATCATGGCGTTGACTGTGGATGAGGGGGAATGAGTGAATGACGCCATAATGTATAATTACATTCACGATTTTCCGGAGCAATTTGTATATGAATAGCCCGGTGTTTAGGCAAGATATCAAAAGAGGGGCGGCGCCGCCCAGCGATGGGAAAAGGGAAAATAATAATAAAAAAGAACTTTAATGGAATTGCACGCTCGCATTGATCATACGCTTACATACACACACACAAGCATGACCGTGCGGCCAAAAAGATGCAGCGACATAAATGCGCCACGTAAATACAGTTTAATGAGTTTACAATCACGTATCCATCATGGAGATGTCAGCGCGGAACTTGCACGCCGACTGCCGTTCTGCAAGCCTGGGGAACTTAATCTGAAAACGACGTTTTAATGCCGTCTTCGTTTTATAATGAGCACGGCCCTATGTATTGCGCCGTAATATCACTGCGGTGGCAAATAAAATATTCATTTGCACAGAGCCAATTTCATCTCTTCATTTTATATTTCCCCGACGACATTTCGAGGAAAAGTTCGTTGGCGATGAGATGAGTCTGTAGATCAGCTTTTTGTCGGGGGTGAAATAAGCGCGATTATGCGTGCTCAGGCACAACGCACAAATCAATGCCGATGAAATCAGGCGGCACAGGGTACAAAGGGATGAAGAAAATTTCGATCGGTTGCAAAGCTTTCGTGCCCGAATGTCGTGCATATCTAACTTATAGGTAGGTATGTGATGTGTGTGTTCAGCTGATTTGCAAGCGGAGACGTAACAATAACGGGTGACGTTTGCATGATGGATCACTAGACAATATGTACGGATGGGTTTAATTCACTAATTCAATAAAACGCGTCTCAACGACTGCCACATCGAAATGCCTCATACCTACTTTTTTTAAATTCTAACTGCAATAGGCGCAATTGCGCCTACGCGCAAAGTACAAATAATTATTGCATAAATAATTAACATAAGCACTGTATTTATTAAAACTTTTATGATGGAGGTACTTTAGTGACTCTATATGTTGTCTTTCATTATGATTTATATGCGAACATAGTTGCGATCGCGTTTCTTTGGCGAATCTGTTTCTCATCGCCTGCGAGCGAGTTAAAGCGCGTTACACACGGGCGCGGACAGTTTTATTTCGACTTGTTGTACCTAATAAAATATAAAATTTGCATTTACACACAGGTTTATATGAGGGTTGCCCGATAAAACATGCGAAAGTTCAATAATAAGCCATAACAAATTTGGAACACCCTTAAAATTAAAGCAAAAATCAAATTTTATTAATGTAGGTACATTTTTTAATTAATTTATTGAGTGAATAATATTTATATTAAACATTTTGTGAGTTGGCAACACTCAATATAAAAATCCAACGCAGCAGGAGTTGTTTACAAAAGTCACACATATAACGCAGTTTGCATGCAAGCCCCGCGCAATAATCGCAATTCATATCAACAGGCAGGTCGACAGGGGGTGGTTTTTCTTATCCGCAGTGCGCATATTTCACACTTTGGGATTTTTCATCTTTATGCACATTTAACACGTACATACGCGGATACTTTGCGGTCGCCGCATGCGGTGTGGTTGCGCCGCGACGCCGTCTCGCAGTCGTCGGGCCACTCTTCGAGTCCTTAAACTGATATATTGACACTTATAGGCAATTTTCCACGCGGCGAGCGCGCTTTTAATACATAATGTGTCATATAAAATTACATCGGCAGCCCCCTCGTGAGATGCATGTACGCGGCGTTGCGCCGGCGGTACGCGGCCGGTCTCCCGATAAAGTGCCCTCTTTATATTATTATACATCTATAGATCACGACTCTTTTCACTCGAAAATCCGCCATAAAAATATTATATATGCCATATTCGCAGGAGTCGCGCGAACTTGTTACGTATGCGTGAATGCCGCATGGCGCGATGGAAGAATAGAATGTACGGGGCGAACGACGACGTCTGATGGAAATCACTTTGAACTTTCGATTTATTTCGATGTTCACAGTTTTATGTCCCCAAATATGCTATTTATTATATGCATTATTACGGTTTCTTGGCTCTCTGGTCTATAAAAGCCGTTTTTTCGCCCGATTTTGCATTCATCTATTATTGATAACACATATTTATCATTTTTTGCTGCCGCAAGTCCTAAGTCAAGATAAAAAGTCGAAATATGTCGCCTATTTTTACTTTTGTTATCGAACTTAATGTGGTTTGTTGAGTGGAAACCATTTTAAACATGAAATATTCCTACCAGATGTTTACTGCATCATTTTCTGTCTATATAAAAAAAGATCATTTTCTGCATTTTATATTTATTTTTATTTTGTAAACCAAAAAGCAAGCCAGACAAGTTGTTGTGTAGGGTATGAAATAATTCAAATGAGCTTCTGCTAATAGCATTTTTATTATAGAACTTAAAAAACGTGTCTTATTTCATTATTGCTTAAATATAACAAGTTTCATGTTTTGGAGCACCATAAGCATCTGGCATTCTCTCAATTGTATACCTATGTTGTGCAACATACATTATTGGCACACCAGGTATCTTCCTAATTCTCCTCTTAAGATCCTTGTCATTAGTAGCAACAATATAACATTTATGTTGTGTGACTCTCTGAACAAGGCAGTCATCAGCATATGTTCCCTTATGCAAGCAATGAATCCTTTCAAATCTAGAATCTTTAATAATTCTTAACGCCACCTTATACTTCATACCTAACTTCTCCAACTCAGCTAACACACAATCAGTAATGTAAGGAATACATTTTGCATATAAGCAGTCCATCATATTTTGAATGATGTCTAGTTTGTTTTTAATTGAAAAATTTATGAAGTTAGTATCAATCAATATGTGATATGGAGGTCCCAGCTGTGTGTTGTATTGAAAGAATAGAGCAGAACTTTGTTGTGGTGCTTCAGTGACTTTCATAGCATATGGATCTTCTGGTTTCTTTTTCCTGGGTGCTGCTCTCTGAGATGCTTTGATTCTTGGATCACTGGGTGAGATCATTTTCTTCATTTTGGCGAACCGTTTGTCAACGACTTTGCGAGTTTTCTTTGCTTTGCCCTATAATAACATGAAACAATTAGCGTGTGATAGAAATAATTTATTGATATATCTTGCCATTTTTATGAAGGTAATAACAGTTATCAAGAATAAATGAATAAACCAACGTGTTTTGAGAATGAAGAGGTTATTTTACTTTATGTGACCGTGAGAATACATTCGTTACATACTACCACAACAGATGGCGCAGCATGTCCTAAAAACAGATTTGTTTGTTTATTCTACAGATTCACAAAAAACAAGAGATAAAATTCAATCGCATTCCGAGATTAGACCTGCATTGTAGCAGGTAAAATATCTGTTTGCAGTGTTCGTTGTACAATTGAGTGAACGCGAGTGTGGTTCGAGAAGGCAAAGACTAATTTATCGCTGTTGAATATTGCAAGGTATGTGCAAATTTCAAGTATTAATAATTTCAATAAATGAATTTGATACAAGGGGATAGCGGCACAAAGGCGACCATTAAGCGCCTTAGTATTGCATCACGTAAAAGATGTATTCGATACTGAATGTTTACATTGCAATTTGTTTTCACATTTTCAAACAAACGCGCACTCAGCCACATACAGTATAATGAGGAAGGAAATTCTCAAATATGAAAAGATATTCTTTCATTTAATAGTTATCTATTTATCAATATCGTATTTTCTAGGATCTTTCATAATATAAAATTCATAAAATCAATTATGTTCGAGATTATGGCAGTGACATAAATAAACAGATCCCATTGTGCACCAGCATAAATTGCAAATCAAACTCTCTAAAATACTTATAAAATAAATAACATTAAAATATCAAATCAATCAAACACAATCACTATCGCAAAGAATTATTCACGCAATCGCTTTTTTCAATATATCATCTATATATCATCTAAATTTCTAACAATAATACGTTTCATAAATCTTTTTGCGCGTGCAATTACTACATGTCAATGGTGATAATTAAGTACATAAATGCAAATACGTGGAAACAAGATTCGTCTCCATCAGTGGAAACGTTTGATTCTCAGCTAAATGTTCTTTAAACAGTTATAATTTTTGATGCTCAGTATAGCATTCCAGTCAGGCCTATTGTAATAAAGTTTGATATGCCAAATTTGAGGCCTACACGTAATTTGTTCAATATAAATGGCTTTTTGATTTCTTATTCATAAGTGTTACATCAGACTCAAAAATTAAGTACATAATCTAGTTTGATATCCTGCAAATTGTATACACATATACATACGACGTCATACAGAGAGCTAGAAGACATTCACACCCAAACCCCGTGCGGATTCTTATTTGTGGGAACTGCATTTTCTAATTGCCTAGGTGAGCCGATCATTTTACGCGTGCTGCCGGCCCTATTGGGTCCTTCGAACAAATGCTTGAGTTCATCCTGTGGTGCTATCAGTAAACTTTCCAAATTAGCTTCCTTCATTTCGGTGACCAAATGCTCTACTTGTTTCTTCTTTTCAATTATCGCTGATTCCAAGGAAGCAACCTGTAAGAAAAGTCCCTTAAAACAATTGACATAGATGCGAATAAATAAGTAGCAAACATACTTCTTTACGTAGCGTATCAGCAGTCATCTGATGCATATCGGTGCCTTGTTTGGCTAACTCGAGGTCATTCTGTAAACGCTCCATTTCAACGAGTAGATTACGCTCCATTTGTTTACGAGATTCGTTCCTACGTACAATCGCGCGCTGCTCTAGTTGCAATTCATCCATTACCAATCTGAAATAATTTTCTTGTCAATAACATATTCTATGCTTTAAATGTAGATTGAATAATACCTTATTTTATTTTTGCATTGCAATAATTCAGTTTCACAGTTTGCCAACTTAGACCTTAACAATGTAATTTCAGACTTGAGTGTTTTCTCTTGCTGTTTAACAATTTCAGATTCTTCCTCCACATAGCTTAGAGATTGGATCTGATTAAAAAAATAATTGTTTAAAATCTAAGATAATATTATTAATTTATAACTTACTTGATCACTATTTATTCTACTAGCATTTGTCATAGTGGCTAATTCTTGAGCGATAAAATCCAACTGAAATTGCTTTTCTCGTTCCTTACTCTCCCAGAACACAATTTCGGCGTCAAACTTAGTGAGATCAACCTGCTGCAGAGACAGCTTCTCCCTTTGATAATTTACTAAAGTCACCAGCTCCCTATACTGTGAATTGTATAACACTGCCTCCTCCAGTTTGGGATACTTCACATCAGACTCATCATTATCTAAACTTTTTGAGTGTTTATTGTTATTCGAAGACGATGGAGGCGGTGGATCACGATACGGTGGCGGTGCCGGCGGATCTTTGTATGGAGGCGCAATACGCTGACTAGCATACTCTGGTGCATCAGCAAATGATTGCTGCTTTTTGGGTGATGAATGCATAGATTCACGCACCTCTAATGACACGGGTCGTACTTGTGGGATACCTTTCACTACTCCTACATTTTCACTAAGTCCAGATGAGCTGCAAGGTTATAATTGTAGTTTAAACTTTATATGATATATGAAGAAACATACCTCTTCTGATGTTCTGGCGAATTTACTGTAATTTTATTTGGTATTTGCATGGTAGAAGTAGGTGAGATAGGTGATGTTGGAGATGAAATCTTCTGTTTTGACTTAGACTCACTCCATTGCAGTATAAATTGCACATCATTTGAATATTCACCCCATTTCATGAGAATCTAACATTGAAGTGAATTGTTGGTTAGTTAAACTTTGAATGATCTTAATATAGTTGTAATATTTGTGAAATACCTTCATGGGATTTTCATTAGGTGCCAACTGTTTCTCATTATTTCTCCATCTTTCGATGAGTGTGAATCTGCCAGACTTTCCAGTAGCATGTGCCAATGCAAACACAATATCCTAAAAAACAATGGGCATTACACATTTAATTGGTGGCTTTCACAATGTGTGAGTTACCTGACATGTAGTAGCTTCAGAAACACCACAAACAATTCTCTGAATGCCTTCCACCCATACTTTGAGCTCCATTTCAATGAAAGTCTGTCTGGTGGCACTTAGGACGCCCTAAAATAGAACATCGCGTATTGGTAAATGAACAAAATCTCTTTGGAAGTCGTAGAGTTCAAGTTAAGTTGAGGTTGAATCCACTGGGAACATCACTTTCTGTATTTACGTTCACCAGAGTATTTATACACACGAATCATCCAGGACGTACATTATTCTAATAATGGCCACGGCGTGCGGTGATGCCTTCCATTGCTGGAGTATTGATGAATTTCATTGGTTTGCATCAGAAATTGCACTCGGGTTTTTGTATTAGTATCGTATGCAACATAACGTAACGTCATTAACGATACAAAACAAGACAACAAACACAAGCCAGCAACAATCGCAATGACGTTTAACAGCGGATTTTAATCGAAGCGAAGGCATCTGCGCTGTGTGCACCTCCACATTTGTGTATGTACACAGTGTTCACACTACGGCAAGCATAACCACCATAAACGTTGGACGTATGCAACCCACACTATTCATATGTTTCCGTTTAAACGTTTATAACCACGAAGTATAGATATAAGGAGTCCGAACGTCATGTTAAATTAATGGTCACGATCTAGGGACCAAACATTCGCCAATAGAGCGCGCCACTATGCGTTAGTGTACGCGTTTAAATACTTACATTACTATGGACACCGACAATAATTCATAAGATACATGAAATTATGACATATTTTTAAATCTTTGGGCTATTAGTTATAAATTAATTGCTTATAACACATATTTTTCAAAGATATTACTCACCTTTGATGCTTTGAATAAAACTACTTTTCTACCATCTCACTAGTCTTTCGGCCACTAAAACATCCTGGAATAGCACAACACCTTCCCATTTTTTAACACTACTAATTTTCAATAATTAAATTAGTTCAAAAAATAATACTATCACGTTCAATTCAAATTAATGTATACATACATATTGAAGGACTGTTTGAAAAGTTGTGGAATATATAGGAAGGATGACTATTTAAGTAACAATATAACACTGGTGATTATATATACTTCTAACTATGTAGTTGCAGCTTTATTCAAATTCAAACACAGAGCGTATAAACGTACGTGTGAACAGTGCAGAGCTATACACAAGAGTAAGTGTATCTCAGCGTAAGCCACTGCTCCGGAGGTCCACCAATCACTTCAATCATCTAATAGATGGTGCCTCATGTATGAGCAAAGTATTTCTAACACATATAAAAGTTAACAATATGGATAACGCATTCGACAAAGTTAAAAAATATGTATTTTTAAATTTAATTGAATTCAATTAAACATTCACAAACCAGCACGTGTTCACGTGTAATAATAATCACGAAGTATCTAAACACAGGAACGTCATGTAAACAAATTGTCTCAATGTTGCTATGAACACGAACCAACGTACATCGATTCACTAGTGATTCAAGCGCAGCCAGTGGCAGAAAAGAGAACTATTAGCTTTGTATATAATTGTGAACCATGACTACGACGAAAAAGCCTATACCGTTCGGACTCCTTATATCTATACTTCGTGGTTTATAACAATTTCAATCAACACAGCTGTCATTATTTTAAAACATTTTTAATAGTATATTCGTGTTTACACATTAGTATTTAAATGATATAAATTTAAATGACAAAGAAAAAGTGTTTATATTCGTATCTTCATATCATATCTAATATGTTGAGTTTAATTATAATTGTTTTTAATCTACACATTAACAAAAAAAAAACGAATACATGTATTCTGTGTTTCTTCATGTTACAAGGAATTTTCCGTAGATTAAGAAACTTTAATTAAAAAAAAGAAGTAATATATTGATCCAAATAGTTTTCACAACAGCCCAATTGGTTGCCTTTGGTTACCAAATAAATAGTTTGCTCTTCAATAACTCTTTGTCTCCTGATTTGTAACTTTATTTATTCTTGTCGATCTTTTATCAAATCTATTTAATTATTTAATATGGACGAACAAGAACAAGAATTAAAACGATTACGTCGTCAGGTATGTTGAATATAAATGTATTTCTATATTAAATAATTCAATAAATATATTTTGGTAGCATCGCATTTTGGTGAATGACAAACATGCGTTAAAAGGTGCATACGGAATGAAATCCTTGCATCAGAAAAAGTTATTAGAAACGATGCGTCAGGAACTTGCAGATCTTAATTTGGCAAAAGCCAGAGCCCAGCGTATTGCTGAAGATCGCCATCTTGTTGCCAGAGTGAGGTCTTTAATTCGTTGTTATGAGTCACATAACAAAGCAATCCACATTCAAAAAAGTGAAATTGAAGAGATTGATAACCAAATTAAAGTGGTACAGTAGCAGTTTTACTAGTTCAAAATTTGTCGATTTTTTTGTTTTAAATATTGTGCTTAAAGATGGAAAGCAAAATTAACGCAGTCCGAAAATACGACGTGCGTAATAAAGATGAAGCCGATGACGCTGATGGAAAAGGTCAACTCCAAAGATTTGAGAATAAACTTGAAACACAGGTCAAGCAGTATTGTGCAATTTTGGCAGATAATAAAGAATTGCGGAAAGAAGTGATGTCACTTTTAAAAGATCGGTTTGTTTCCAGATTTAAAATATTTTATAATCATTTTCAATAAAACATTTATGCAGGCAATTGTTTAACGAAAAATATAACAAACTAGTAAGAAATTTGGCAGTGGGTAAGCGTCAGCTATTAGAAACAATGGATAGCGCGAAATCTGTGTATGACCAACGTGAAGAGTCTTTGCAGAAACTGAATGCACTTTTTGTCAAGTCAAAATTAATTTATACAGATCACGTAGAGGTATATTTTGGGACTCGGAAATATATTATTGATGAATATCGTAAGTAATATTATTTTAAACATTATAGCAAATGGCGGAAATGAAACGCCATCTTGATGCGCAAACCCAGCTTGGAAAGTTTATGAGATCCAAAGGTTGTAGTCGTATAATGGCTGATCTTGAACGTAAAGAGAATGAGAAACGTCAGGCTGCTTGGGACAGTCAACAGCATCAGTTTGATTCTTATATGCGAATGATTGATGAAATACGCGTAAGTTTCATATGATTAAATACTTATTCTGTCGTCATATATACATACTTTTGCATTTTGATAATAGGATTTTTTTGGTGAACAAGATATAAATCGCATTGCTACTATTTTTGTTAGAAAGGAAAATGAAAATTTTGCTTTATTTAACTACGTAAACATTCTCAATGGAGAAATTGATACGTTAACAGATGAAACTATTGAACTTCAAAAGAAAATAGGTAACTTATTAATAGATTTATAAAAATATTTAGAGTATAATTGCTAATACATATTAAGAATTACAACGAGAGCAACAGAAAAAAGAAAACGAACAACAAGCTGTAACCCTGAAAGAGCTGGAAAACATGCTTCTTTTAGCTAAGGAGGAAAGTAACAATGCTGAAGTAAGCCTGGAGCAATCAGAAAATAATCTTAAAATTTTAATGACTGAGTTGGAAAATACGTTTGGAATACTTCAGTGCGAGTTGTCACCCATTCATAATTTATTAGGTTATTCAAACTGATAATATTTATAGTGCTTTAAATAATAAAGATAATATATTTCCAGATGAAAGCGGCAAAATTTCAGTTAAAAATATACTAACACATATGGAAATTTTTGACGGAAAGTTAGCCGGGTTAATTACGGGCACTAAAGAACGGTGGATGGGAGCACCAATTCGAAAATCATTACACTAATATTAGTTACAGGACATTATGACAGATAATTTAGATATAGTTAAGGAGAGACACAGAGATGCACGTAGTTTACCTAAACTATTGATATGGGGTTTGTTCTTGGTTGTTTGTTCTTTTAAGATTCTTGGTAGAAATTGGCTAAATAAATATAAATTGCTGTAAATTTTTTGTGGTTTTGCGATTTTTTCCAACCTTGCAATGGAAATCAGATGTTATCTTGGAAGCCGATTATTCTATTTTAGTTTTACGTTTAATCTAAATGGGCGAGAGTAATTCTTAACGATGCACAATCGCCGCCACCCGAAATAACACGAAAATTGTCTTAAAATTACCTACTTTCAAAATACCGTGTTATAGTGAATTTGTCAAATCTGCGATGGAAATTGGGTGAAATTATGTACAGATTGTCTTAAGAAATTGCTCGTTACCTTGGGTAACGTTTGTGTTCTCTTGAACGATGTACCATTGTATCATTGGACCTCACTTTGCACATACATATACGAGCACACTAACATTGTTTTCGTTTTCTCCTTTACGGGCTTCTCAGTTTTTACCTGTATTTTGTTGTTCAGCGGGCGTACTTTGCCGCGTGCGGTTGCTGCGTGAATTTGTACAGATTCAATCACCTGTCGATCTAGTTTGTTTCTATTCGCCGGTCAGTACGTTTGCATTGCTCGTGGTTCTCCATGTATTTTGATTATTTTAATAAGTTAGTCGCGTAATATTTTTAAACATTGTTTGTGCTTTGTGATAATATTTGTATGTGTTTGGCCCATAATTTTTCGGGCCCAAAATGATCGTAAAGCGCGGATTAATTCTTTTGCTTTGGATGTGGTGTGCGGGCGGTTATCAACAGAAGGTAAGATTTGCAATTGAAAAAATAGGTAACTTAGGTCACAATAAAAGTCACATTTTAAAGCTATTGCAATACAAAGCTAAATTGAATAGTCCAGTTGATTCTGTTTCTCGTTTCATTTCTCGAGACTTGTCATATTTTCTTGAACGTTTAATTTACTCAATCATCCTTCGGATTTTGCGCAAATGGTCGTACTTTGTGTTTTGTGATCTGCACACGATGTTCTCGTTTTTACCGCTATGCGTGTATCAGTTTGTTCTTGTTCAAGTAGAATACAAACCAATAGTGAATTGTTATTTAAACTAATGCTGGTTTAATTTTACATTAGGTATACATTGTTATGTAAGTGTACAGGACGTCAGACTGCGCGGATCCGTCAGAAATCAATTTTGCGTCTTCAGAGGATCCAAAGAAAAATGGAAAATTCAGGAATATTTCATTACTAGAAGTAATTGAAAGACCTAAGTTTAACTTCTTAACGCGATTTCGAGAATCTGGAAACAATTTCAATATCTATACATTGTGTCATGGACAGAGGCAGGAGGACAGGATACACACTGAGGAATAAAGCTAAAAACGTGAGAATCTGCACAAATGTTATGTAGAATGTTAATCTATACAGAACATTTAACAAAATGTTTATTTTAATGCGGATAGAAATCTGCGCAAATTTGTGTCAAAAGCTGCGCACGATGATTACTTTCAAGTTAATTCGGTTAAAAATTAGCTTAGGTCGTGCTAACTATTTCGTTGTACATACCTACAACATATTAAACAAATTATTTGTTTACAGTTTATTTTAATTTGATCAGCATAAGTCTAGTGCTGAATTTTAATTTGTTTCAAACATTTGACAAGAGGCTTACTTTTAAGGTAAATCAGTCAAAATGTGTTGTGTAGAAATAGTTTTTGTTAGGAGATAAATAGTATTGGTATTGTCCGTGTCTGTAAATATATCTACGGTGTTATTCTTGTAGGACTTAGGTAGTAGTGGTCGTAGAAGTAGTAAAGAATAGTAAATAGTACAGGTAGTAGTACTAGTACTAGTACTAGTAGTGGTAGTAGTAGCAGTAGTGGTAGTAGTAGCATTAGTGGTAGTAGAAGCAGTAGTAGTATTAGACTTGTAGGAAATAGCAGGTAGTAGTACTACCGCAGGTAGTAGTTGGTAGTATAGGTTTTAATGAATAAATTTTTAGATTATTGTTTAAGTATTTAACCATCTCTCTTTGACCATTTTTTTTCTTATGAATTAAAATTTTATTTTCTAGATTTAACTAGTAGTTCCGTCGATTAAGACCCTGCGATTCGTTCCTTTCTATCTCCTCTAGTTTTCGAGATATACGCAATTAAAATAAATCGTCAAAAATTGCTAAATTTCAATTTTTCGCACTTTTAGTTGCGTTGTTAGACCTTTTACCCCATTAAATTAAATTATTTTAAAATTTCCATCTGATAGAGAATTTTCTAGTCTTCCATAATCTACAATTTTCTGGTTGTTATTTCTTTTAGTTTAAAAGATATTCACTGTCGAAAATTGCCCTTGCCCATTTTTTCTCATGAATTAAAATTTCATCTCTTAAATTTCTAATTTAACAAGTTTATTATATAGAGAATTTTCCGTAGATTAAGAATTTGCGATTTGTTCCTATCTATCTATTTTAATTTACGAGATATTCGCAATTGAAAAAAAATGAGCAAAAATTTAAAAATTTTACCTTTTAGCACTTTTAGTCGCATTTTGCAACTTTTTACTGTGTAAAATTAAATAATTTTAAATTTGTATCTAATAGAGAATTTTTCAAACTTTCATAATCTTCAATCGGTTTGCCGCAAGCGCTATTAATTTAAATGATATTTGTTACCAAAAATACTCAAAACAATCTAGTGAACTAATTGACTTCCTTAGAGTTTCTCCGCCCTCGAATAGAGTTAGAAAGTTCTTCTATAAGATGCGTACCCTCCAACCTCTCAACACTTCTGAAAGTGCCTTAAAATGATCTTCAAAAATGAGCAATTTTCGGGAAATTAATTAACTTTCTTAGAGTTTTTCCACGCCAGAATAGAGCTAGAGAGTTCCTGTACACAATGTATTCCTTCCAACCTTCCAACTTTTCCGGAAGTGCCCTAAAATGCCCTTCAAAAATGAGCAATTTTATGAAATTTTGAAAACATGGTGTGGAAAACACCCTGTATCTAGTGAACTAATTGACTTCCTTAGAGTTTCTCCACGGCAGAATAGAGTTAGAGAGTTCCTCTTCACGATGAATACTCTTTCAAGCTTCCAGCCCATCCGAAAGTGCATTTCAAGGCACTTCTAAAATCAGCATTTTTAGGAAAATTTGAAAAAATGAGGTGGAAAACACCCTGTATCTCCGAAACTAATTGACTTTCATGGAATTTCTCCACGCCAGAAGAGAGTCAGAGAGTTTGTCTACACGATGCATACTCTTTATACTTTCCAACCCTTTCGGAAGTGCCCTAAAATGCTTTTGAAAAATGAGCAATTTTAGGAAATTTTGAAAACATGGCGTGGAAAACACCTTGTATCACGTGAACTAATTGATTTTCTTGAAGTTTCTTAACGTCATGTTAAAGTTCGAGAGACCCTTTACAGTAGGCATACCTTTCTCATCCTATAAACCCTTTGGAAGTGTCTTAAAATCCCATTCGAATATCGCTATTTTTGTCCATGAAATTTCATTTTTGGTTGAATAACACGAACTTTTTTTAATAAATATTTTTTGGTCGAAGAACAGGGTCGAACTTTTTTACTTCAACTTTGTTTTGGTCGCAATTTTTTGTTAACATTTTTTCGGTTGAATTTTTTTGTTAGATTTTTTTCAGTCGATAAAAGGGAAGTTCGACCAACTTTTTTACTTAAAATTTTTCGGTCGAATTTTTTTGTTAAAATTTTTTTGGTTGAAAAACAGGGTCGAACTTTTTTACTTAAAATTTTTTGGTCAATGAACAGTGTCGAACTATTGTGTTAAAATATTTTTCGGCCGAAAAATAGGGTCGAATTTTTTGGCGATTATGTCAAGAATAAAAAGGTCTACGAAAAACGAATGCATTTTTCTCTAAAATTGTAAATAGGGTCTAATCGGTTAATGTTAGTTACTAAAATGAACAATGTAGATTTAAATTATCTATCAGAATCCGATTAAGAATTTAATAAAAATTAATAGTTCCATGCATATTACGAGTTCAATTCTTCTCATGTTTTACACTACCACACTGAAAGTATCAGTGTTTACAAACAAGCAAGTTTCTTTATCTCCTGCAGTTTTGTGCGGTGGTCACGCGGTTGGCGTGCGTACCACGTTTATCTCCTTTTTGTCGCCAGGTGATCTGGACGCACATTTTCTTTAGAATATTTTGAGTTCCTTAATTTTTTGTCGAGTTATTACGTACTGTTTCTACTGTTTCTGTATCTTCGATTGTGCGCGAGTGATGCGGCGTTCGTTAAGCGCGGATTGTACACACGCAGAGGTAAAGCGTGAGTGATGTTCCGTCGCCGTCGGATACTCTTTTTGTATCATACATGTATTTCATATTTATTTCGTATTTTCTTTGGATATGCCAAACGCACAAACATTTATTTTGCATCAAGCTATGTTCTCCATTCCATTATTGACTGAATATCTACCGTTGATTTGCAATACGTATTCGATACATTGTTTCGTTTTCGTTTAATGTACAAATTAAAAGATTAAGATTGTCGCGTGCCATCGCTTGCGTTCTTAATTGTTTAGGGGCTTTTTCCGGCAAATCCCACTACCCACCACTATTAGATACAAATTTTAATTCCGATAATAAGAAAGAGAAATCTTTTGCCTTTTTTATGATGAAATCTTCTTTTCAGCTAGTGCAGCTTTTGAAATAATTGGAATTTTTAAATTCTGTTTTTATCTATTGTCTGTTTTAATCTAGAATTGTGTTACATGTTTCCGATTTAGAATTCAATGTACTCTCAAAAACCAAAAACAGAATTCAAAAATTATAATTATTACAGAATCTGTATTTGTTGAAATAAAATATTTCGCCATAAAAAGGCAAAAGATTTCACTTTTTTATGTCGAATGCAGTTTTCACAAAAATTTGCAAATAGGGCATAAACGGTTAAAAACGGTTAAAAGTTACTAAAATAATCGATGTAGAATTAAAAGAAGTGTTTAAGTATTTATTATCCTAACATTGAACGTTTAGGGCCTATTTGCAATTTTAATTTTAAAAAAAGGTGATTACACGCCAATAGGGCTTTAATCTATAATTTTGTTACTGGTGTCCGATTCATAATTTAATCG